TACGTACGTCTCTCTCTCTCTCTCTCCTCCCTCCTCTCTCTCTCTCTCTCTCTCTCCGTTAATACTGTCATTCACAACAAAGGTGACTAGTAAAATCAATTTATAATCAATTTTTTCCCCCTCCCCCTCACTCCTTCCTTTCAATTGAAATACACAAAATAAGTATGGCATTTTACACGTGCAAATGATTCTCTTCCTTCCTTCTTTTTTTTTTTTTTTTTTTTTTTTTTAATATTCCACATACATACATACACACATACATACATATATTTAGCAAAACGCTACGTTGTTGTTCTGTTGTTGTTGTCGTTATTATTATTATTATACAAAAATAGTAGTTCAAATTTCGCTTTGTAATAATTCGTTTGTAATCGTTGAGAAATTTCGCATTACTTTTGAATTGTTGTCCGTTTCATGTTTGTAAATTTAACCGTGTAAACCCGGCTCGAAGCAACGATATTCAAAATGACTCATGACCGAAGCAAACTTATCTGTTGATTGTTTCGGAAGATTTGAATTTGCTACTTTCAGTATAATATATAATACACGCCATACGTGTTAAAATGATTCGGCATCATTTCTTTATTTTTTTTTTTTTTCTTCTCCTCCCCCGATATATTGACAATTCATTCTTAGCTGCCGCCGTTACATTACGATCACAACGTGATTATAATAATAAATTTTATAATAAGTATTGAATAGAAGAAGGAAAGGATGTGTAAAAATACATTGGACGTGTTGCAATAATAGAAGAAAGAAAACAGCAAGCGAGGATAAGATGAGCAAAGTGATTTGGATACGTTTCGATCGAGGTATAGTAATACATACCTTTGCTCAAACGGTATTTCGAATCCCAAATGAAAAAGAAAAAGAAAGGGAAAAAAAATTAGTGTCATCGAGAACAGAACAGAATCGACTCAACCGGTAAAAAAAAAAAATCTTCGAAAACGATCTTCGTTCGCTTCGTTCCTGAATCACTCGCGGTATATCCTCAAAGGATAGATCGAATAACTGCCCCTATCGAGCGACGCTTCCACGTAACGTTTGTAACGCGATATCGAAGGTTTTTCTCTCCTCGCTGCATTACAACTACGTTACGTTCGTCGACGTGCTCGATGAAATCACCGGTACAACGCACGGTGCGGTTTAAAAGAAAAAAAAAAAAGGAAAAAAAGATCTCCAAGAATTTCTCGAATTCTCGATAATCAACGACCAATCTCTCTTCCTCTTGACGATGAACACAAAATGGAGAAGATTAAAAAAAAAAAAAGAAAAAGAAAAAAGAAACAAATGAAAAAAATGTAAACTTGTAAATCTATCTCGTAAAACTATCTCTCATCGACTAGGTACGAAGAAAATGATCGAAATAATCGATACTTCTCGAAGCCCTATTAAAAACACTAATGGACGAATTGTTGGTAGTCGCAGGACGAAAAATCGAACAATCGAACTCGAACGTCCGTGAAAGTCGATCGTGTGTTTATTACAATTCTCGTATCGTTTCATTAACTTGGAAAAAGTGTATGGTGTATAGGTTAGGTTCGCTCACTCAGAATCCAAACGAAAAAATTTAACACTAGAATGTATATGCATAATTTTAAAATGAAAGTTAGAGCAATAATTCATTATCTTAATAAATATTCTTAGGATTGTAACTAATAATGTAGACGTGATTATATATATAATATATAAATCGAAATCAAAATAAAACATTTAAATTCCTTCAGTCTTCAGAAAATTATATTATACGCTTAATTGAAAATATATAAGAAAATTCTTGAATATGAGTCAAGAAAAGAGTATTTAATAACGGTACTAGTTAAAAAAAAAAAAATAATGTAAAATCAAGAAAATCAAAAATATCATTGAAATGATCGTGATGAAAAAGATATTCTTAAAATTCTAGTGTTTAATTCTATAATTAATTCATATTTTTACATTACATTTCGTATCGTATCTCACTCGATTCGACTTCCACGATCCTTTCAAATAGAATAAAAGTATTTCTCATAAGAGTGCGCCATTGTTAATATTTATGATTTATTATTTTGACAATCACGAAGAGAAATAACTATCTTTAAATACTGTTATTTTTGTTTCTTATTTCCTTTTATTTATTATTTATGACGAAGGCAGTCTGTTGTTGCTCATTTGCTCAAAATTTCGCATTACAAAGGTAATTATCATTATTCATAGTTTGTGATGTTTCTCGAATGACAATCATGATCTGAAGTTTATATAAAGTTTGCTTTAATAATTTCTGTGTCGTCAAATTTTTTTTTATCGTGCAATGAATAACTCATTGCATATGTACAATCAAAGTGTTTCTTTTTTTTTTTTTTTTTTATTTTTATTTAGAAAAAACGTATGGCTATTTGAAAGCGTCAAGTACTTACTTAGTTAAGACTTAAAAAATAAAAATTCTAAAATGTTCATAACTTTTTACATCATGGATATATTTTCGAGCGTTCAAAAAACTGATGTCCATAAAATTATCGACATCGATTATTTTTTTTTTTAATCTCAAGCTTGATTCATAAAATATTACAAACCCGTACAAATATTATTTTGAATATTAAACATCGAAAAATTCTATGATTCGTCCTTTTGAAAATTTCGTGCATAATAAATTTCTATAAAAAAAATTATTTGACAAATAAGACGCAACATTGAAGATCACAACACGGAAAGTGTGTTAAGCGATGATGCTATGATAGTTTACGCTACATTACCTAAATCATGAACACGTTAGATAAAGATATAAGGTTAACATAAACCACGTTGCCTTTTCAAAGCGTTATAACTCAATATTATGTATACAGAGTGTTACGTTTAATTGGATAATATATTGGATCAAATATTTCGCGATTAAAGTTACATTACTAAAAAAAAAAATGTCTTAACAAAAGTTGTTTGATTCAAAGGGGAATATAATATTTTGCGAACAATTTTTTTTATTAACGAACAAGATTTCAAGATCATTTGTTTAAATAGAACTATATAATTTCGAGTGCATTATATGAGCATTTCCTAATAAAAAAAAAAAAAAAAAAAAGTAAAATTAACCTACTTATATCGAAAAACTATTAGTTCAGAAGTTACAATTTCAATTTGAAATTTGTAAAATGTATGAAAGACAAGAAGAGCGTATAGGTAAGAATGAATAGGAAACACGCGATGCGATGCATCTCTGCTATCCATGCTCTTTGTATTTCATATGATAAATTTTATAAATTTCAATCTCAAAAAGCTTAATATATACAAATCTTTAATAATAATAATAATAATAATAATAATAATAATAAAAATATAACTATAATTAATTATACAAAATTAATATATCTTAGTACAGGAAATAGGAATCCTATAAAAAAAATTTTTTACAATATAAATAAAATTTCCGTATAAAATACACGATTTTTAAAATTTTCTTTTACATTCATCCGATTCGATATTCGGGATGAATATTTCTGTACACACGAATAAAATAAAAAAGACAAAAAAAATCGTCAAGAAAAAGATATAATACTTGAATTTTCCAAATATCCATACATTTTTGTCCCTTAAAGTTTCTCTTTTTCATGAAATGATCGCGTATCCTGCACGAAAATTATCACAATTAAGAAAGCTTTAGGAATTGTTTCTACAAATCGAGAATCGAACAGCGCAAGCGTCGTCGATATTTAAAATAAAACGCGGGAAAGCGTTCGGGAATTTTCGGGAATAGCTTAATAAACACGAATGAAACGAACCAAATATATCCATATACATTGAGATTTCGAATGGGAAACAAACAATAATACTGACACGG